GGAATAGTATGAAGGAGTCCTCATAGCTGCTTTGCTGGAAAACAAAGAGTGGTATCTTTGTAACTAGCTGTAAAACAGAACCATACAATAGCCAAAAGCTAGTGCAGCCTAGTGGTTAAGACGCTGAAGTGAGAGGTGAAATTCCAGCTTCAAGTCTCATCTCTGCTACAAACCCACCTGATGATCTTAGGCAACTTGCTATCTTTTAGCAGTCCCTCCCGTTGCAGTGTGGGAATACTGATATTGTGATAGAGCTGTCTTACAGACTCCTTAAGATATGTCCTTTGGTCCATCTAGAAACCATGCAACTGCTACGAATTGTTAATGTGGTTATGATGATATTATGGCAATGCTGCAAACAGACAAATAACTGCAAATGCTTACTATCATGTTCAAACACCAAGATATTTCCAGTGATGTCTGCACAGCTATTTCATTTTTTCTGCACTTCCAAGTGCTCTTTGGTGCAATTGCATATCTCTTTTTAAAGACAGTAGTTACACTCTAAAAATTAGACCGTAAACCAAACTCATTCTAGAGAGCAAGTCCCACTGAACGTGGTAGAATCTGCTTCCAAGCAGACATGCTTAAGACTGCACTGACAGAACAGCTTTGGCCATTAAGAAGAGAGGGGGGTGGGGTAGGAAGTACAATTAAGATGTCCTTTCCGTTTCCTTTGCTCTTTTGAACAACCAAAGCAAATAAGAAGGATGAGATGACCTACGGGTTCCAGTAGGAGGGATAAGGCAGCCCCAGGAGCCTTAGGGAAGTGAGAATAGGGAGAATACCACTTCTGCAATTTTAAAGAGGCTTAGCCTGTATGGTCAACTCCAGAGCTAGAAACTGAGGAGGTTCAAAACTGTGCAATTGAGAATGTAGGACACAAGGCTTCAAGGTGCAGTATATAGTAAGATGAGAAATTTTCCAGCAATCTGGTGGTAAAGAAGATGGAGACCTTTCTCCCAAAGTGGGTGGCCAGCAGTTATGCAGGCAAGACGAAGGAAGCAAGTTTTTGTAACAGTTTTCTTCACTGCAAAAACGAAGGATGCAATTCAAGACTGCCTGTCTAGGTTCAAAGTGATTACTTCTTGACCTTAGAGAGGAAACAGACAATAACTACCTCTAGCGAGAACCACACTAAACAGGAAGTGGAGGAAAGGTACCTGTATCCACTGGTTTCTGGATTCAGACCTACAGTTGGGAATTTGGACCCACACTTGGCCATGCTAATCTAGATGGACTAGTAACAATTGATATGGAGTTCCTTGCAAAACCATCTTTCTGGAAGCACCTTCACTTGGAAGGAAGGTCCACTGAAACCTGTGGTACCAACTTTTTACTGGTAGGTATATTTTGGATTAGAGTGCCAAGATCCCAAACAATGTGCCTGGCTTACCAGGACATAGTATGATTGTATAGGGAAGGCTTTGCTTGTAACAGGACATGGATCAGGCAAACGTAGCTTACAGAAAACAGGAAGGGAAGCGATCTGCACAAACATTAAGCACCTAAGGAAAAACAAAGATAGGGATGGGTAAGAGAACAAGGAAACATATGAAAAACACTGAAGGAAAACAATGCTAACCTTCGTCTCTGACAGAACAAAGAATGTGAAATGGTCTTATTTTCACTGTTCCTTGGAGGAAGAAAACAATGCATTCAGAACAAATATGAATCAAGTACATTTTAGAAACCAGTTAGTACTTTATAAGCACAACCTACTGCTATAACAATCACCAATCGCCATTAGTCATTTCCTTTGATACATCCAAGGATCTCACAGAACTTCTCCACTTCCTCTTCTCCAACACAAGGGAGGGCTAGCAGCTTCCCAACTGAGCTTCCCCAGGCATTTTTTGATAGGGAGTTGCAGCATAATTCCTCTATCTCAGAAGCAGTACCTCAATAAATAGGGTAGGAAGTCTCATACTCAGCACACACCTTTCAAGAGTCTGTTGAGGCTGGAATGCAGCCTATTAGTGCTTTTAGTCCCAGGGCAAGGAGATAGGGTCATCTCTTACTGGCTGCTCCTCTTCCTATTACAACAAGCCAAGCTTCTTTAAGACTATAGACAAGGTACAGTCTGGATTAGCATCAAGAGGCTATGTCAGGCACCGAACTGAGGATATGGAACTTTTGCTTTTGAGATGCCCACCACCACGAAGTGAAAAGGTACCCTTTCAAAAAATGTGTTTGGTTATGAGAAAGAGGAATGAAAAGGTTTGTTTGCAAGAAAGTTCTTTCCTGTATCTGAACTAGAATTCCCCGTCTGGAGGATTACTTATTTGCAACAGCTGAAAGCTGGTCACGAATTCTCCCCAGGCCATCAAGCATTGTGTCCACTGTTTGCTTATTCAGCTCTATTGTCAATGAAGAGGTTGTGAGGTCATTCCCACATAAGGCAGCATCTTCCTGAATCTGAAAGAAAACCAGAGCTTAGCATCAACCTGAAATCTATCTTCCCAGTGTTGTTTCTTCCATCTTCTACTGAACAGAATCTCATACATATTGCATTGTATTCACAGTCTCTTTAAATGCCTTCTCCAAGCCCCACCCCTGGCGCCAGCATGTCTGTCAACACAAACCCACCAGGGAGGTTTGTGGCGCTTGTGAGGGCGGGATGGCACAAACTGAGGTTCGCGAACCACAAACTGGGCCAAGTTTGTGACGAACTTCGGATCATAATTCGGTTCGTGCCCATCCCTAGTTAAGACAGTATAATGGAGCAAGGTGCCATAATCTTTCAGTTTGCAGGTTTTGTAGTGCTTTTGAAGCCCACACAGAACATTTTGGTAGAGGCTTGGAAAAATGAACCTGCAAAAAAATTGCACTAGTTGCACTAGTTTTGGTCCATCTACCTGAAAGCAACCCATCAGTTACGCCTCCCATGTATCTCTTTTTCCTTCTCTTCCTCACTCCCACATGCAGCATTTTTACTGTCAGAAGGAGCAGCAAAACCAAGAGGTTTATCACACTACTGGCAAGGCAACCAGTAAGGCAGGTGACAGGCTCCATTCAGCTTGGGGGATCACAAATCATGCAGGCATGCTCTCTGAAGCCTTTGTGGGGCGACTATGTAGTGTGTACATAACCTTTGTCTAGAGGAGAGCAAAGTGCCCATTTGTTCATTAAGCAAAAAAGGACCCAAGTAACAAGTACCTGGCCAACAAACAATACCTTCAGCTGTAGCAGGCAGGTGGGGACAGCCATTCTGCTGACACTATCTGAGGAGGTCTTGATGTCCACTCGCCAGTCCATATCAATCAGCCGGGGAAGGGAAACTATAGAATGAATGAAACACACTGATTGCTGACTTTCACCTTCCAGAATGTCATCAGTCTTAGCGTCTACTATAGGGCCATTAAACAGCGCCAAAACTGTCCTTGCACAAGCACTTCATTAGCAAGCTTCTGTCTCTTTTCCTTTTTTTTTTATGGCCCCCCATAGGGGATTTTTTTATTTGCATTTTCTAAAAACTACAACGAAATTAGGGAGGGGATCTATTAAAAATATCTTCTGTAGTTGTTCTTGTTACAAATTGTACAATAACATCTCTTGGTAAATTTTTCTTTTCTGCAATTCTGGAGTTCACTCTGTATATCAAATCAAAATCAGAGTCCATTGTCCCTTCATCTTCTTCCAAATATGATGTTATTGCCTTCATCATTTCATCTCTTATATCTTCATTTTCCTTCTCTTTAATGCCCCTGAATCTCAGATGGGTTTGCATCCTTCTGAACTCCATCATTGTTTCTGATCTTCTAAATTGCTGAGTCAAAGAATCCTGTTTTTCTTCCACTTGTTGCATCTTCTCTTCCACTTCCGTAGTTTTGGTTGCATTAGCCTGAATCTCCTTTTTGACTCCTTCTATTTCTTGCTTGATTGAAGTTATCTCAGTAGTGACCAAATCTTTAATTGCCGCTATGTTCTTCTCCTGAACCTCTTCAAGTTGTTTCAGATGAATCTGAGTCTGCTTTGCCATTTGTGCCTCCAGTTGCTTTTCAATCTGTTCCCCCATCCTTTTTTCACTTTGTTCTCCCATAGCTTGTATTGCTTCCAGCATCCTTTTCTCCATTGCCTCCATGGCAGCATACATCTCTTTCTTATCCTTCTCCCTCTCTTTTGACATCTTGGGGGTTGGTGTCAGCCTAGTTGGTGTTGAATTAGTTCTTGGTCTCACTTTTGGCTTAACGTCAGGATCAGAGTCAGCTCTTTTCGGTCCTCTTCTGGTCTCCGTTTTGGTGCTTTTCCTGCGGTGCGCAAATTCACAAACAAACAGTCTCTTCTAAAGGGTAGCCTTCAATCAGCCATTCCCTTCTATTTTCGCTTTTAAAAACCCTCTAAAAGAAGTTTAAAGTCAAATTTAAAGTCAGGTCCTCCTCAAAATGTCGGGCGCAACTTCTCTATGGTATTCGGGTATAGAGTAGGTCAGGTTACCGTATTCCAGGTCCCGTCTGTTCGTATACACTCACTTCCGGTTCTGCTCTCTTGTAGCTCCGAGTCTCTTCCTGTTGGCTTCCTGTTGGCTTCAGCCCTTCTTTCAGGGCTTCCTCTTCCTGTTCCAGCACCTCGGAGTATTTTTTTCGTTACACCGGCCTGCTCCTCCCGCGATACAGTTCGTCAGTTTCGGTTTTCGGCTGCGCACATATCTCAATTCCCACCGCAGGAATGTTAAACAATGTTCTTTTTTACTGTTTTAAAGCCTTCAATCAACTATTTTCTTTGCCGGAATCGGATTTCTGGGAATGTTTGGTCATTTCCCGCTCAACCGCTTGTTTCAATTTTTATCTTATCACAGTTCAGGTAAGCGGCACGTTTATTGTTATCTAGCACGATCAAATCGGGTTTCGCATTGCTTCTTTTCACTTACTGTTGTTGCCCATCTTCAAGAGGTCGGCTGGTAGAGAGCTTAAACCGGTAATCCGGCTCGAACGGCCGCTGCAGAGTTGCTTGGCACTTGCCTTCTTCGGGGGAGGAGATCAAAGCATGAAACGGCCCCTTCGGGAGCCGGATCACGCCAACCTCACACTCCCTCTTAGGCGCTGCTGCCTGCTTGTCCCCCCCCCTCACTGGGGAGCGATGCGTTGGGCTAAAAACTGCCCAAACTGTCAAAAGCGGCCGTCGCTCACTTCGCACAGTCACGAAAGTGTGTCAGTCCTCCATCTTAGCCCGACCGGAAGCCACCAATGTGGGAGATTCTTGTCCAACAAACATGAGCCCAAATAAAAAAATGGGAGGAGTTCATAATCCACTAGGGAAACGGTAGTATTTATGCGCAGCCCAGGGACAACTGCAGATCAGCAGTACACATTACATGTAATGATACGCTAGGGCCTGACCTGGATGGCCCAGGCTAGCCTGATTTCATCAGATCTCAGATGCTAAGCAGGGTTGGCCCTGGTTAGTACTTGGATGGGAGACCACCAAGGGGTCCAGGGTTCCTATGCACAGGAAGGCAATAGCAAACCACCTCTTGGCCTGAAAACCCTACAAGGTCACCGTAAGTTAACTACAACTTGACAGCACTTTCACAGCTCCAGTCACTGGATTTAAATATCCAAAGACTGGCCAACTTTACTATTTATTTAATTCCACTTATAGCAAGAATATAACATTAGTTTTGTGAGATTCTGAAGCCATATAGCCCAATTCCTTGTGGTAGGGTGAGACAGTATATACCTAGAACTAGGTATGATCCGATTGCCAATGAATTAACTAGGGAAAACAGCATGTTTCTAACTTTCAAGTTATGGGGGGGGGGACAACTAGAAGGTAGAACTGAGAAACCAGTATAAGGTTAGTTGTAACTTGAACAACATCTCTCTGGGTTACTCAAGGTCAGCATTACAACCTCTGAGCTCTTTTCTGCCTCCATTGCCTCTGACACACTAAACTCTCACACTAGAACATTTCCTAGAAGCCAAACAGATCTTATACTTAATCTGCATGACTTATTTATCCCGCATGCAGAATCAGACCTCCTTCCGAGCAAAAATAATTCAAATTCTGCTGGTTAGAATACATAAATCAGTACACAAAACAGTACTAACAGACTTATAGTGTCCACATTATCATCTACTCTAAACATTTGTGCACAGGTGGCTTTTAAATATTTTGATACTGACATCTAAACAACTGAAGTGATTATTTCTAGGCCTAACCACCTCATGTGGGCTTACTCTCCTGAAAGAATATTGTCAAAGTGGACAAATTTTAAACAGGAAGTAAATTCAGCTAAGCAGAACTGTGTTTGTTGTGAAAGAGCCAGAGCTCAGACAGGCCTTCAACAGACACACTACGTTAACAGGAACAAACACTTCATGCCTTGAACCTCTAAAAATAAGGGAACAGAACCTGGCAAGTCCTCCTGACTAGACCTGTACCCAAGTGCCTTGGGTTAAATAACTAAGGGGGAAATTAATATAAAATAAGCTACGTGGGGTGGGGAAAGCATCAGAAGAGATACAAAAGTCAAAACTGCTTAGAACAGAGAATAGGCACTACATTATGAACATTTTTTCACATGTAGGTAACGGTTCCATAACGGGATTTACCATAAATGTGTTGCCAATACGACTGCAGTGCTTGTTTTTAAAGATGTTAAATAACTAAGGGGGAAATTAATATAAGATAAGCTACGTGGGATTTACCATAAATGTGTTGCCAATATGACTGCAGTGCTTGTTTTTAAAGACTGCTCTAGGCTTAAAGTGACTCAAACTTTCATCATAAGGTCAATCACATAATAAAACTGGACCTCACCTACTTTCAAGCTTATCTTTATAAAGATAGGGGTATCCTTGTCTCCCCCTTTATCAACAAAACTCAGAGTGTAAGCTCCTCGTTGGAGCGGCCTGCTTTTAACTTTTGTTCCTCTATAAACTACCATGGCCCTGAGAGCAGAGTAACAAGGTCTACAGATGCCACACCATCTAAAAGTATCACCTGCAATGGCTCCCCCCCCCCGCTTTCTATGAATGCGGCATGATTAAGAACACAGTAATGGAAATAGTAAAGCCTGAGGGTGGAAGTGAAATGAAGAGTTTGTCTAACACGTTGTTTGACTAGAAACCAGCCTTTAGCTGGCAGACACTGCCATTTGTTTTTCCCTACCCGAATAAGACACCAAAGCTCCCATCCAACCCATCACAGGAACAATATGTTCATGCTGCAACAGCCAAAGCAACACAGGGAAACTGCTCAAGAATGTACTTTTATTTAGATTTTTATATCTCAGTTTCTCCCCATAATAGGGACTCAAAGCCGAGTGCCACAGGGTTCTCCCCTCCTCCATTTTATCCTCTGAGATAGGTTAGAAGAAGAGTGACTGGGTCCAAGGTCACTCAACGACCTTCAATGGCAGAATGAGGATTCAAACCTGAGTCTCTCACTCTAACCGCTACACCACTGGTATAGTGCAATGACATCTACAACCAAACAACAATGCTTGAGTCTTTCTGCTGGATAACCAGTGAACTATTATTACTGTAAGACATGTACAAAGGACAAGAGAAGCCGAATTACTAAACTAATATAGATACATCTTCCTGCAAGGTCACAAAACTTGTATAAATTTTTAGAAAGCAGAGATTTTCTAGCCGTAATTGTTACAAGTATGATTGGAAGAAGCGTTGGATTTATACCCCACCCAACCCTTCCTTTGGGGTCTCAGAGCAGTTTACAATCTCCTTCCTTTCCTCTCCCCACAACAGACACCAAGAGGTAGGTGGGGCCAAGAGAGCTCTGAGAGAACTGCTCTCGAGAGAACAGCTCGGTGGGAACTGTGACTAACCCAAGGTCACTCAGCTGGCTGCATGTGGAGGAGTAGGGAATCAAATCCCGGTTCTCCAGATTAGAGAAATCTACTGCTGAAATCTCAGAAGCCAGAGGGTTTGCCACACACCATTTCAAGCGGTTGACTTGAGGACTGTGCCCTACACAGCTCCTTACTCATTCTCATGACTCACAAAACAAGAAATAAACAGTAGCTAAAAATTATACAATTACAAAAAAAGTTTTAAAAATAGAAGATAGTGGCTATTTACAAGCGGAGTGGTGCTTATAAACACAAGCTGCCCCCTTCCCACTGCATCTTGAACTTGTGCCCATGGGGTGGAAGAATAATTATCTCCAAGGTCAGCATGGGAGGGAGAAGCCGACAGTGGGCCCTTTCCCACCACTGAAAAATACAGTTAGGATCTAGACCATAACTGATAACTTGCAGAGATACAGAATTTTGAGTAAAACACACACCACCCGGGCAAAATTAATTCCTGTCACCTGACCTGAACCTGTTGCCAACAAATTATATTGCAGCCACATAGTCCTTCTCCCCGTTTCCACTGCTGTGTTTTCCACTCCAGTGCTTCCTGGAACAGCCTTTCTTGGTTTACAGAGAAGACAAGGTGTGCTCCAACTTTAAAAACTTATCCCAAATTAGTAAACTCCATGGTGGAGTTTTTTCCCCTAATAACCCCATCAATTTCACTTAATCTCTGACTAGTTAACCCACTTCCTTCCTACACTTAGCAACCCCTTTTCTCCAGCAAACAGTCCGCTCTTCTCGCCTACCTTTTGCCATCTTAACTTAGAAATGCATCAAATCTTTCATGCACAGATATTTCTGTGTAACAGACTACATGCACCTCATCATATAGAATATGTACTGATGTACCTTTTTTTACCAGTATTCTCATAACAAACATTGAAGACTGGCGGCAGGTCCCCATGGTGAAATAGGCAGGCAGGCGCCAGCTGATAAAATACAGTACAGGAAGCAAAAGGCACTTGCCTTGTGAGAAGGGATCATGAGCAGAGACCAGCTCACTTCCTACATGGTTAACATCACTTAGTAGGCACTAAATAAATGTGGCAATAATCATTACTAAAGAAACACAGAGATACCCATTTCAGAAATAAAGGTCACTCCACCTCACTACCCATTACTTACTCTGACTGGCTTGTACTTCATTTCTCCAGGCAGATCTGAGAAAAGGGGAACAGAACACAGAACAGAATCACACACTGTAAAATGAAGTAGTAACAGGGTCCAGAAGTGGAGTCAGGAAAGCAATTTTTCTCAAACTATTGTTTTGTAACCCCAGTGACTGAAGGAGTCCACAAGTGATTTCAGTGCCACTATAAGGCAGCTGAATCTGACCATCCCCATCATAATCCAATCTATACTGCAGTGATTCAAACAACCTAGTTCTTCTTGATTACCACCACTTTGTGCCAGCAAAAGTAGCTCCTTGAGGAATGGGGGAACACAGAAAGCATATCTGAATTGCAACATGCAATTCCACCCTTCCATAATTGCCTAAGGTAAATAAAAACAGCTTCTAACAAAACTGGATAAATAGGAGGTCCATCCTCCTATTCGCGGCTTGTTCCTCTTGCTCAGCCTAGGCATTATTTCGCAGCATACTTAGAATTTTGTTGGAATCGTCATCCATTCATAGTCTCTATCCCAACACATTTTCTGCAGAGGAAACCTGAAGCATTAACGTAATTTGTGTCTGAAGGCCTGCAGTTATTCACTGAGGCTGCCTCTTAGAGATGACAAACATGAACACGTGAAGCTGCCTTATACTGAACCAGACCCTGGGTCCATCAAGGTCAGTCTTGTCTACTCAGACTGGCAGCAGCTCTCCAGGGTCTCAGGCAGAGGTCTTTCACATCAGCTGGTCCTTTCAACTGGAGATGACAGAGACTGAACCTGGGACCTGGTGCATGCCAAGCAGATGCTCTACCTCTGAGCCATAGTCCCTCCCCATTCTGTACTTCAAACTTTAAAAGGCATTTTATTTCATTTATGCCCCACCTTTCTCCCCATTGGACACCCAAAGCAACTTCTATCATTCTCCTCACTGCCATTTTATGCCCCGAACAACCCCAGGAGGAAGGTTAAGCGAAGAGTGTGCAACTGGACCAAGGTCACCCAGCAAGCTTCCACGGCAGAACAGTGATCTGAAGCTCAGTCTTCCAGATTCTAGAGTCTGGCACTTAGACCCCTACATAACACTGGCTCTGACTGTTGTAAGTGTTTAACATAGAGAAAAAGCACAAATTACAATAAAAGCTGTCACACATTTCAGAAATGAATGCTGAAAACCACAGCTCTTCACCGTTACCCTGATTTACATTACAAAGCAGACAGTTCTGCAATATACCAATTACCAAATAAGAATGCCACAATACCTGTAAACATCACAGATATAAACCAAAATGACAGTCCCTGATTAACAGAGCCACTTTTTTTTGGGGGGGGGGTCTAGACAGCAGCACACCCCTGCTTGTATGCCTTTGTTTTTTATTTGTATCAGAATCCTGCCTCCAGATGAGGCAACCTTAGATGGCAGAGCTATAAGTTAAGCACAATTTATCTATTTGGGAACCTCCTTAATAGGTAGTATCAGCTATAATTTGCAAGCCTTGATTTTTCTGTACAGACAACCCCAGAGAGACTTCTTTAATCATGATTTGGCCCGATCAAGTCAGAACGTTGCCTTATTCAATACCACAAAGAGGACACTTACAAGTTTTCCAGGATTATCTTGGTCAGAAGGTTTTTAAGGTTCTGGTGGAAGCCTTCTGGAAAGAGGGAGAGAATTTCTTCTGGGGAGATCAGGCCTCGATGCACAACATACCTTGAAAGCCTGTGCAAAGAACAGATCAACTGTAGGAGGATCAAGAAACAGAAAGACACAATTAAAGGTTTCCTATTATTGTCAGATATGAGATCAGTTACCTCCCAAATTTATGAAATCCTCATACTTTCTACTTAATAGCATCAGGCCTGACCCTTGTTAGCTAGTTCTCCCAAATGATTCCTGTTCTTTGAACTTAAAACTCTACTCCCTGACCTTTTCCCTGCAATAAAGCTAGATACTCTATGCTTTCCAGTTTTTGATGCCTGTTCTTCAATTCCAACAACAGCCCTGCTGCCCCAGGACCTATCAAGAAGCTAACATGGTTAACCCTGAAATGATATGCAACACTCACTTGCTTTGCTTCATCTGATGCAACTGAGAGAGTGGTACAGGTGTCCTCAATCAGTTTCTCTGAACCATTGGCTGAACTCAGAAAGCACTCTTGACATAGGTGCCGGACCTCATCTTTTTTGGAAGCCTGTCAAAAAGACACACTGTGACCCTTTTCAAAACATAGGATGGGGTGACAGTAGTGAAAATGGCTTTTCAGACAGATTAAACCAAACCATGAAGGATAAGCTTATTAATGGCAATAAGGCCTAACAATCAACTGGCACTTCCAGGTGCAGGGGCAGTATGTCTATGAACATACGAAGGAGAAAGTCACCTCTTTCATGTCTTACTGTGATTTCTAATGCTATTTTATTTCCAGATATTTAAAGCTTAGTACACATATTAAAGCTTAGTACACATTCTTGGTGCTGGGGGGGGGGGCAGTGGGACAGCTTCTAGTGTCCTGGCTTCACTGATGGCACCTGGTATTCGCTTCTCTTATGTTCTTATAGAAAAAGCATAATACTCTTTTCATGAGATTTTACTTTGAATTTTAGTATCATTAAGATTTGATGTAAGAGGTCTATCAAATGAGATACCATAGCTCAGCTGGGCACTTTTAAGAATTAATTTTAGCAAATTCTCAAACTGAAATATTAAAAAGTATTATCAAAGTACTCATTAACACAACAGGATTTTTTTTTTAAAGAAAAAAGTAATAACTCTATACTATCTAGTGAATAGCCGTACTGGAATCCTATCTGAGGGTTAGGCTCAGATTTTACCTCATTAGCTCATTGTGGGAGCCTGGCTAAGTGTCATTCGGTGATCCTCACAACGTCGTTACGAAGACGTGTCTTTTTAAAATGCTTTACTTTACAAATTAAAGGTGTCACAGATATAATATAAATAAGCATTTTTAAATACTATCTCAATTCCAGAGCGAGAACCATTGAAATCAGCAGAGCTAGGAAACTGCTTGACAAATAATATTATCCGAATAACTGTACCTACTTTTAGCAATATCTGGAGCACAGCAAATTGTTCTTCGCTCGGCGCAGCGGCCATCTTTCCCCGATCACATGATCATCACTAGCCCTATCAAAGAGGAAGAGAACAATTTGTGTCAGTTTTTTTTTAATGAGCTGCTCTGCATCTTGGGAGCTGTAGTCCTATGGTAACCTAATGACGGTAGAAGAGTCGGTCTGCTTTAACTGTCTGTTTCACGAAGGAAGTCAATGAAAACCGTTTCCTTTTTTCTTTATTTCTCACCAGCAGCTATACTCCTTTCAGCGGGGTGGGTTCCTTTACATGTATCTGCATATTCCCGGTTAACATAACAATTGGTGCGCGTTTCAAAAGAATCGATTACCATTGTAGCAAAAACAAATCAAACGAGACGGACCGTGCTCTAGGTAACTGTTAGGCGGAATCTCTAAAGGAGCAGCGTTTATGGGGTCAGCCTCCTTTCCCTTAACGGTCCACAGGAACCAATAATATGCCTCTTGTTAAGACGTTTTTGTGTTTTAAGTGGGTACTAGTTTAGAAATTAAGATATATAAATATATATTTAACGTAGCAGTGTGCTCTGCGGCAGAAGTTCTGCCTTTCACCCGAATACCTGCGGTGGGGCTAGGAGACTGTGGAGTCTGATCCTACCCCGCCCAAGAGTCTGGGTAAAAGTCGGATCTAAATGGATCCTCATGAATTTCATATTATTTTTACATTGAAACGAAATAAAACCACCATCATATTGTAGGTCATGTGTTAGTCTACAAGGGGCACCACAAAAATCATGCATCCACAGATTCGTGGCACCACAACAGCGCAAAAGCATGATTCCAAAGCACGGATCCTCATGAATTCATATGATTTTTACACTGAAATGAAATAAAACCAACATCATACTGTAGACCATGTCTTAGACTATAGGCAGCACTCCAAAACTCATGCCCCCAGGAATTCGTGGCACCACAAAACTGCAAAAACAATAGTTCCAAAGCATGGATCCTCGTGGATCCTCAGGGTTTTTCAATTGAGTAACCTGAAACACACCATCAAATCACATAACATGTCCACGGCAACAGCTTGCACCAAAAAAATCATGGATCCACGGCTTCATGGTGAATCCATTCTGCAAAAACATGATTCTGAAGCATGGATCCTCATGGATGTTTGGGTTTTTTGTGTTGGGACACCCCAAACATACCATTAAATCCCATATCATGTCCATGGCCAAAGCCTGCACCACAGAAATCACAGTGCAATGGCTCTGTGGCAACACCATGCTGCAAAAACATGGTTCTGAAGCACCGATCCTCAGGGATCCTTATGATTTTTGCATTGTGTCACCCCAACATCACCATCAAATAATATGCCTTGTCCATGGCCACAGAACGCACCACAGAAATCATATGTCCACAGCTCCGTGGCGACACCATTCTACAAAAACATGGTTCCAAAGCACGGATCCTCGTGGATCCTCAGGGTTTTTCAAATGGGTCACCCCAAGCACACCATCAAATCACATAGCACATCCATGGCCACAACTTGCACCACAAAAATCACAGATCCTCAGCTTCGTGGTGAATTGTTGGGTGATAGTGAGATATTGAAAAAATGGTATTTAGCAGAGATAAGATGGTCCAGTAGTGCCGGAGTAAAATAATTCAGACTCAGAGTCCATGTGTGATTAAAATATAAAGTTTTTACTAAATTCTAGCATGGGAAGGGTAACTGGGATGAAAATAACAACAGAGCAGAATCTGCTACATCCTTACTTTACAAAGACAAAACTAGAAGAGAGAGAGTATGGCTACTCTTCTTGTTCTTCAGAACACCAAAACAAAGATGGGAAGAGAGCCATAAAATGCTAATACACCTTGACACTTTAGTCCCAATCAAATTCCTAGATCAGGGAGAAAATTCCCGGGTATTCTACAGCTAAAGCACATTGGTTACAAGAAAAACATGTGACTTCCTGTGAGTAACATAAACAAACTTTTTACCATTTTTTATTTTTAAAAATTTCAAGTCAAATTTACATACACATCAATTACAAATTTTCATAGACATCAATCTCAATAATAATAAGATATACAATTCCATCTATAACAGATCACCACATAGGTCATATGTATCTTATACAACTATCAATCCTAACAGTCATTTGGCAAATTATTAATTATTTCACCATAATTGTAGTAAATCTATAATATCGGGGATTTCTTTCTGTTGCATCAAATACTGTAATATAGGAGACCACGTCTCAGAAAAATTAGATTGTGTTCTTAACAATTCCTAACAATTAACAATAAACAAACATTTAACCCCAGATATACTGAGTGTTTTCAACTTGTAATACCCAAGATGAATCCATTCTGCAAAAACATGATTCTAAAAGCACGGATCCTTATAGATCGTTGGGATTTTTGTGTTTGGACATCCCATACCATTAAATCCCATATCATGTCCATGGCCGCAGCCTGCACCACAGAAATCACGGTACCACGGCACCTCTCTCAGCAATCGGGGAATCAGGGGGAAAAAAGCCTCTCTCTCACACGCGCGTGTCCCCCCAGCTCCCTTTAAAAAGTAGCCCTGATGGAGGCGGAGTAGCCGCACCCCCACGATCCTGCTCGCTCCTCGCCGCCAGACCCTCTCCCATGCTGCCGCCTGTGGCTTGTTTGCCCGGCAGAGAGGCTGCTCTGCTGCGCCCCTTCACGCCCCAACTTGGTTGCGCGGCCCGGCCCGTGCTGAGACACGAATCATCTGGCTTGTTTTTTCCAGCGCTCATGGGGCCGAGCAAGATCTCCATGGGGGGGGGGTCTGGAGGAGGTGGATGAGTGCCAGGAGCGCGTGATGGGCGGGTGGCCCAGGCTCTTTAAAGAGCGCCTCTTCCGCCCTTTTGGAGGCAAAACCACTCTGACGGGCGAGGAGCACAGTTTGCCTTTAGGAGCTCAGGGGCGCTCAGCACAGCCGGCAGGAGGCCGGGGAAGCTTTTGCGGGGGAACCGTGGGCGGCGGATGGGGGGCGTGGCGTGCAGGTGGCCGTGGCTCTTTAAAGAGCACCTCTTCCACCCTTCTGGGGGTGTGGCACGCGGGTGGCTGTGGCTCTTTAAAGAGCACCTCTTCCACCCTTCTGGAGGCAAAACCACTCCTCGTGCCTCATCTCCCAGTGGCAAGGCAAGGCAAGGCTGCTGGGAGATGAGGCGTGAGGAGCACAGTTTTCCCTTAGGAGGTCAGGAGCGCTCGGCAGAGCCGGCAGGAGGCCGGGGAAGCTTTTGCGGGGGAACCGCGAGTGACGCACGGGGGGCGTGGCGCAGGGGGCCGTGGCTCTTTAAAGAACACCTCTTCCGCCCTTCTGGAGGCAAAACCACTCCTCATGCCTCGTCTCCCTCTCTTTAATATGTCCATGGCAACTGTTTGAACCACAAAATTCACAGATCCACGGCTTCATGGTGACACAATTCTGCAAAAACGTGGTTCTGGAGCACAGATCCTCATGGATTCTCAGTGTTCTTGCATTGGGTCACCATGAACTCATCATCAAATAACATATCATGTCCACAGGCACAGCTTGAACCACAGAAATCATGAATCCACAGCTTTGTGGCAATACCATGGGGCCAAAAGATGGTTCTGAAGCCGTGTATGCATGACTTTTGCAGTGCAAGCTGTGCCCATGGACATGATATGTGATTTGATGCTGAGTTCATGGTGACCCAATGTAGAAACACTAAGAATCCATGAGGATCCATGCTTCAGAACCATGTTTTTGAAGCATGGTGTTGCAACAAAGCCATGGAGCCATGAATTCTGTGGTGGAAGTAGGGATTTAATGGTAAGTTTTGGGGTGTCCCAACACAAAAACCTCAAGCATCTATGACAATCCATGCTCCAGAATGATGTTTTTGCTGAACGTTGTCACCACAAAGCTGTGGATCCATGAATTTTGCAGTTTAAACAGTTGGCATAGAGATATGTGATTTGATGGTGTGTTTGGAGTGACCCATTATGAAAACCTTGAAGATCCATGAGGATCCATGCTTCAGGACCATGTTTTGGCTTCATGGTGTTGCCACTAAGCTGTGGATCCATGATTTCTGTGGTTCAAGCTGTGCCCGTGGACATGATATGTGATTTGATGGTGTGCTCATGGTGACCCAATGCAAGAACACTGAGGATCCATAAGGATCCGTGCTTTGGAACCATGTTTTTGCAGCATGGTGTTGCCATGGTCGCCGCATAGTTTCCCCCGACTGGTGCTGGGAGCCTAGGGTTGCCACCTCTGGATTGGGAAATACCTGGAGATTTTGGGGATGGATCCTGAGGAGGTCGTGGTTTGGGGAGGGGAGGGACTTCAATGGGGCATAACAGATTCCATTTCCCAAAGCAGCCGTTTTCTCCTGGTGAACTGCTCTCTGACACCTGCAGATCAGTTGTAATAGAGAGAGATCTCCAGCCACCACCAGGAGGTTGGCAAACCTATGGGAGGCACAGCCAGTGCTGTTCTTCCCAGCGTTAGCGACTACAGTTGCCAATTGGCCTGGACAAAAATGTCCATTTGGTGGAGAGTTAATGTGTGTAAAATAGGAGCTGAAGCTTTTTATGGCATGGAGATAATAGAGTCTCCAGTCTCCAGTTGAGGACTGGAGATCTCCTGGAATTGCAACTGATCTTCAGATAACAGAAGTCATTTGCCCTGGAGCAAATGGCTGCTTTAGAGGATGGACTCTATGACATTATTCCCCACAGAGGACTGTCCCTAGACTCCACCCTCCCAAATCTCTGGGAATTTCCCAACTCAGACCTGGCAGCCTCTAGCCAAGGCAAGTGACACAATGGGGTAAATAACATCCAATTAAGCCTTCATTAAAGGGCAGGACTATTTCCCCCAGGCCATTTAGGAATCCCCAGGATTGTAGATTTCTGCACCAGACTGAGGGCAAGGTACATTTCTTTGAATGCTTCCTATATGTAAATATTCCGGAAATGGTAGACCTGAAAACTGTAGTTGCCTGTTTAGCAGTGAGAAAACACCACTGATTTGGTAAGTGACTACTCATAG